GGTGATGCCCCGCAGGAAGGCCCTCGGCTCGGCAGTGCCGTGCATCAGTGAAGCACCGGGGGCAAAGGAGAGCTGACGGATCTCCCGGGGTAATTCCTCCGGGGATGGATTCACCAGGGCCTTCGGGGTGACCGAGGCCAGAGGCCCATCAGCGGCGGGCATGTCATCAATAACTATGAGGGGGGCCGCCCCCTCGACAGCGGCCCCGGCGGCTTTCTGCTTCTTGGTAGGGGGCTCCACCCCCTTATCGCTCCTCTTCTTCTTCACGGCCGCCTCGGCCTTCGACCCCCCCGGTCCCCACAGCAGCATGGACGTCCCCGGCGGAAGGCTCTACGACCTTCGGAAAAAATGCGTCGGCTGGCTTCTGGCCCGAGGGCCCCTTCTCCTTTGCCTGGGTCTTGCCCTTCCTCTTTGCGAACAGGGCGTTGGCATTCATCTTGCTACCTGCAAAGAACGACAACAACAAGTTAAAAGGTTAGAACCGAGGGGTCAGAGACATGACGACAAACATGACAAAAAAAAATCTCTAAGTACAAAAATCTAAAGCCCTCGGTCACTACCTCCTGCTCCCACGAAGGCTTTATCATAGAGGGGGTACTTCTCATCGGTCTCCCCAATGAACCGATACCTCAGGAATCCGAGGGCATATAGGTCTTCCTCGAGGATGCACTCCTTGATGGTTATGTTCTTATCCCGACCCTCTGGAATCTTGGCAATCTTCAGGCCATCCTTCTCGAGGGCGGCACTCTTGACCTTCACGTGGCGCCGAAAGCGATTCCGCAACTCCCTCGGGAAAGGGCTGTCGGCCAGTCTGATATAGCACCATCGCTCTCTCCACCCTTTGTTAAAGGAAGGGGCCTCGGTGAACAGTTTGAACTGGGCTATCTGCTGTAAGTTTGCATAGCCCTCGTCATTTGTATGCCCCCCCCCCCCCGGCATAGGTTAAAACTTTGGAAGAATAACTCCAAGCTCGGTGTAACCCCCCGGAGTTTGCACAGGTTCACGAACCCAGCTATGTATGAGTGGCTAGTGGGGGTCAATTGAAAGGGAACCAGGCCAGTGTACCTCAGGTACTCCCGGAGGAACGGATGGAGAGGGAACCGGAGGCCCATTGAAACCGAGAGCACGTGCACGGCTATACATCCCTCGGGGGGGCGGGACAACACGTCATCAGGACCTGGCTCGACTACTACGGCCGAAGGCCCTACATGCAACTGGGTGATGTAGATGTCCGCCCTGTCAGCTTGGGACTTAATCTCCAGAGCGGCGGTGTCCAGGAAGGAGTGACCCTCCGGTAGATCAACTGGCCCCCCTTGATCGACGGCCTTTACTTTCTTCTGGGGGCCAACCTTCATCTTCCTCCTCTTCTTCCCGGGGGCTACGCTTAAAGGCGTCGGGTCCAGTGGCCTCGAGCTACTTGCTTCCCCAGAACCCCGAGGGGGAAGGACAGCGACAGTAACCTTCGCCCTCTCCTTTTCCTCTTCCTCCTCAGCAACTTGGACGGCGAGGGCTAACTCCTCATCTTCGGCGGTTCGCTCGAACTCCTCCACCTCGACCTCGGCCACCAAATCCTTCTGCATCTCGGTGGCGAGAGCTGCATCACCACCACCCGAGGGCTGACTGCTACTGGACTCCACGTCGGAGATGCTTTCGTCCTGAATCGAGGGGGTCCTCGAGATGTCTTGAGAATCACTCTGGGACGACATTCTAACTCTAGCTCGAGGGTTCGGGGGAACTAAGGTTTTCTAGAGAGTTCTATCTCCTAACCTAAGGGCACAAGGCACAGCTAAACTAGAAGGAGAAAGGCAGGGGGAACTGACCTTGAAAGCTGAGTTTTGACCGAAGGCTTGAGTTTCTCTCTCTAGAATTTTTGGCAGAGCTTCGCTAAGGATTTTGGACGCGTAAGGAAGGAATGGCATTGGCTTGGGGTATTTATAGACTCCAGGATCCGGGCTTGGGCCCAAAAACTGGGCCTCCGGCCAAACATCATCATTACACACCGTCGTTTCACCCAACCGGTGACGCCCGCCCACGAGCAGCCAACGGCTACACTCCACGTGTACCCCCCCCCCCCCCCCCAACGGCTATAAACCTGACGTTACATATTCCAACGGCTATATTTCCAACGGCTATATTCTGGAAGCCCCCGGGTTTTCCACTTCACTCCACTTCATCAAGGAGAGCCTCCGGGTACACTTACCCAGAAGCGCCCCCGGGTTGTGCCTCACACAGCACATAACAGACGCCTTCGGGATCACTCCTTCAGAAACCCAAGGCTTCATATCAGGGCACCCCTCGGGGATTCCCCTCAGCACTGTAAAACCGGGTAGCCCCCGGGGAGTTGCCTCATTGACGGATAGCCTACAGCACACAGGTAATGGGAGCCCTCGGGTATCCTCATCACCAACTAACCAGCAAGCAGGGGACCCCCCGGCGACAATTCAATTACTGCCCTCATCCATCATTCCCTCGATCCCCAGATTGAGGGGCTCCCTTCGGCACCCCCAGGACATCAACAGCAAGCCTTCGGCTAATCAACACATGAGCCCTCAGAAAAGAGAGCCTTCGGCATTACCGTTATTCTCCACTTTCGACCAAGGTTTCACATTTTCGATTCATCGTTGGGGGAATTCGGTGCACTCTTTTTCCCTCATTAGGATTTTTTTCCACAGGGTTTTTCCTAATGAGGTTTTTAACGAGGCATCCCCCCCAAAATGAAACGAAAAGCGTCAGCCTTCGGCCCACAACAGCAACGCAACTACTCTACTCCTTTTCACCACTTTACAAGTGCCTCAAGGAGTGGGGGACTGGAGGACCCCCTCGGGAAAATCATTAAATTACAAAATTAGTGAAATTCCAACAAACGACAAAGCAAGCCCTCAAGTCCCGACATGTGGGTAACTGAGGGACTACCTTCGACAGGGACATGAAAACAACAACTCCTCACCAACTTCAGAGATTACGACAGGACAACATCAAAGGGCAAGCACAAATTACTCCTTTTCCCTCAAATACCTTTCGGCAAAAGGAGTGAGGGACTCCTGATGGAGTACATGGCCCGGGAACCCCCGGCCCACAGACTCCTACTACTCCAGCAAAGGCCCAACAGGCCCAGAAGGCTCAACAGGCCCAAATCACAGCGCCCAGAGTGCCAAGCAGCCCGCACTACGCGCCAGGGGTGCCTTCACCCCCCTGGCCGAAGGCTCTAAACTCTTACAGAACGGGGTTCTCAAGCAAACTAAGAAACTGGGAGAAAACGGCAAAACAGTAGCCCTCGGCACCAGGGTGCCATCAGTTTGAGGAGCCCACGGCTGCTGCCCTATAGCCGAAGGCACCTCTCCCGACATGATATCCGCCTCACATGCGTACAGATCACCGTACCCTGTACAGGCGTCCCATCCAACAGCTGCATTAAATGCGGCCATATGCGGCTGCCAACGCCAACCGGTTAAGGTGACCCCTCGGCCAATAGGCGCTTGACACGTGTCCCTGTCCGGCATTTATTGCTACTATAAATAGCACCCCATTTCCCCATTTGTAACCACGTTGAAAACGCTCCACATTTATAATACACTCTCTCTCTCTCTCTACATTACTTGCTCTGACTTCTCTCTAAGTTATTCCCAGCAATAACCATTCGGATATATACCCCCGGGTAGACTATCCATCACGTAATATAATCAAAATACGAAGAATGGAAGTAGGGTTGGATTCGGTTCGGGCCACCCGGCCCGTGACCCGGCCCGGTCAGGCGGTCCGGGACCGGCCCGGTCAGGCGGTCCGGGACCGGCCCGGTCGGGCGGTTCGGGACCGGGTATGGACCTGAACCGGTGGGATTGGGCGGGGCGGGCTCGGTGCTGGATTAATGTGACCCGGCCCGGCCGGGTCGGGCCCGGGCCCGGGTTCGGTCTTAATTTAAAAAAAAAATTGGGTCTTGGCTAGTGGGCTACTAGCCGTTGGGGGTGGGGGTGGGGACAACCCAAACGGCTATATAGCCGTTGGGTGGGGTAAAGGGGGGGTCCGGGGGGTTGGGTGGTGGGGGAGTGGTGGTGGTGGGGGGTGGGGGGTAAAAAAACCTATAAATACTCCTAATCTTAAACATTTTTTCATATCTCTTCTCCAATTCTTCCTAAATCCTATTCTTAACTCTCTACTCTCTAATTCTCTTATTCTCCAATATATTATATTTATTATTTATATATCTACTTTATAGTTTATACTTAAGAAGTTAAGATGGAAAATCAAGATGCCATTATACGGTATAATTTTGATAAGCAGAAGGACCCGAAGACCGGGATGTGGTACGCAATTTGCAAATGGTGCGAGAAAAAATGTAGCATGGGGGTTTCAGGCGGATACGGGATGACAATCAAGCATATGAAGTCATGTGACAAAGCTAAAGGATCGGGAGGTGCGGGAAGTTCCGATTGATTACAATTTTCAAAATGTTTGTCTCTTAAAATTTGTTTTAATTTTCAAATGTAGTTCCTATTTCATTTCAAATAAATGCACTTGAAATTTGTTTTTAATACTCGTATAAAACTATAAACTATAAAATATAAATTATATAAATAAAAAAAAAATTAACCGGCCCAGCCCGAACCGGACCCGACCCGTGACCCGGGCGGGTGGCCCGGCCCGAACCGGACCCGTCCAACCCTCGGGCCGGTCCCGGGCCCATGTCATACAAACCGGCAGCCCGACCGGGCCCGAGTCCATCAATAAATGGAAGATTATAGTTGCTTTTTTAACTATTTTTTCGTATGATTTTTTCTTTAAGTAGCTATTTAAACCCAAGGTTTCCATAGTTAACCATTTAAATGTAATTTTTTCATAAATAAGCAAAATTAGCCAACTCAACCACTTCAACCAGAACTTAATAAATTTCAACAAGATCAATAGATTCAACGTATTTCAGTGTTGCCAAACGGATTCTAAATTATTTAAACCATTCAGTAAAACACTGAAACCATAATCACAAAGAAAAAAACCACAGAAAAGGCAGAACCTAAGAAATCTGCTCACATATAAGAGTTATACGGAGTACCAGAGATGCTGTTTAATTATAATGTCTGCCATCAAAGACCAATATTGTTATTATTATAATTATGCAGTCTAGTGTGGCTGCTGTCATGACCCCTTTGGGCAATGCCACATGTTTGAAGTGATTTTAGAGATCAGCCAGCCATACGTGGACGAGGAAATGTACCCATCCTGTCCGGAAAACAATTTCCAGTGATAATAATAATAATAACAATAATAGTAATACAAAGAGTAGCACAAGAAAAATAAAGATGCTCACTCTACATAAAAGAAATCAAAATCTGGTACTGTAGGATTACTCATGTCATCTGGCTGGCTGCTCATTCTCTACTGATGATGATTACAAATCTAATAATTCAAGAGAACACAACGGCCATCTTCTTTGCAAAGTCATCACCGTCATCCTCCTCATCTAGATATTCCTCTTCATCTAAATTGACTTCTTCTTCCTCGCCAACAACCTGCTCCTCGTAATTGTAGTTTCGCCCTTCCTGTTGATCATCATAGCCTTCTTCAACATCTTCCTCATACTCCTCAGCTCCTTCCTCCTCATTAGCTATCATTCCATCTTCAACCTCATGAGCATCACCCACTGATTTATTATTCTTCTCAGGTTCACCACTGTGATGGTGGTCGCTTGATGGAGGAAGAGGTTGAATGTCTTCTTTCTGAACCCACGAAGCTCTTCCCCGCTGACAATTATTATAATCTCCATTATTATCATCACCGGCTCTTCTTTTCCGCTTCAGAATCTCTTCCAAAGGCTTCGGACCTTCAAATGACAGATCACCTCCAGATTGATGCTGCAGGTCATATGAAAGATGCTTCCTTTTACCTTGGGACAGTTCCCCATTCCTTTCAATCCCACTCTTCCTTCCTTTCAGCTCAGATAGACTTTTTGGAGCAGCGAAATTTGTGTCGTCCTCACCAAACACATCTCTTCTTGAAAGTGGGCCTCCGCTATGCCAACCTACAAAACCAGGATCCTCTTGCAGTCTTCCTCTCATTCTGTCTTGAAGCCTTCCACGAGACAGCCTGTCGCGATCTCTGCTCCTATCCACCTCTTGTCGAATCTCAGCAACAACATCAAGCGGTGAAGATGATGATCTGATAGCAGGAACGTTTATTCTTCCCCGAAGGCGACTGCCTAAAGAAGAACTCTCATGTGATGATGATACACTGTTTCTCTCTCTCCAAGCACCACGATAGTTCTCGCGTCCCTCATCATGTCTTTTTTCATGAGCATGGCCATTGCTAATGACTGATCGTAAACCATTAACCCTTTGTGGCTTTGATAACCTATGCCTTAAATCTGACACAACCACTTGATCTGACCTGTCCGTGTTATTATTACCATACCTTCTCCTTTCAGGATATGATCTCCCTGATTTTCGTTCCGACGTTGCTCCACGTTGCTCCCAACCATAAAGTCTGTCATAACCACCACCATGTGCCTCCCGATACATTTCTTGGTCGATATCTCTCATCGAGTAATCAGCAGAGGGGTCCATATCATATTCACTCGCCTCATGCTCTCCCGCCACTCCATAGTGATCTTCAACAGGGTAGTAATCAGAATCTCTGACCTCATCATCCACAAGAACATCAAATCCAGGAGAGGCCTCCCTTGATATCTCATCATCCTTATTTTGCATTTCGTCATCATGGTCATCAAGGCCAGGTTGCATTTGGCTTAACCTTCCGACATGATCTCTGCTTGGAGGAACAATACTTGGTTTATACTTGAGAAGAGGTTCATCACCATCAATGACAGAAGATGGTGTCATGTTTTTCACTACTGGTTTTGTTGCTGGGGGTATGACACCAGTCTTGAGGGGGTTTATTTGTAGAATGCTTTTCTCTTGTGTACACTTCTCAAGCACACCAAAGGTTTTCTTGGAAGACACCTCAGTGGTGGTGGGAGGAACACCTAGCTTCTGCGGGGGTTTATTAGCCAGAGAATTTGGAGCGTGATGAAAGAAAGAGCATCTATCACCTTTCAGACAGATTCCTTTCTGGAAGAAGATGCAAGGAACTCCCTGTTTATTAGGAATGGGGGGCATTTGCATTGCAGTGGACATAGCCTGTACAGGAGGCATGAATGATTCCATAGGATTTGGGACTTCGGGGTCTAGTAATGCATCAAGAGGCTGTATAAGGGGGAAATAAACCACGATTAATCACTAGCTAAGAAACAATAGATACATTATGAGAAAAATGTACTAAGCAAGTCTACAGAGAACATTATGAAGTAAAAGTTGATCATGGCATGATAGATCTTACAGGGTGCCTGAATGCACACTTAGGATTTAAGCAATTCCCGTTCAACCAGTACCAGCAATCTCTTGGATTGAGCCGAGCAGTATCACTATGGCGATACTCACATTCACCTCCCTATCATCAGACAAAAAAAGTGTAGGCATCAGTAGGAACATAGGTTTATAGAATTATACATAACACTCAATTCATTTAATTCATTGATGGTGAGGAGAAAATATATAGGAATTTTATGAGTATACAAATTAACATTGCATACTAATACCCAACGTTTGCAATTGCGCAATGCCATAGAGCCTTATGGCGCGCCTCGCCTATTTCCAGGGATATAGCGTAACATTGCATTGCATATGGCGGACATGGTTAAAGCATACATTATGTGCGTAAAGGCGTACGCAATAAATCCTACGCAATGAGGCATGCTAAGGCGTACCCTAAATGAGGTCTGGTGTATAAGGTTTTTTTGGGCCCACAGAGCCCACTTTTTAACAAAACACATATCCGGTTCAGGGTAAATACCATAAACGGCGATATTATTTTCATATTCTGCGCAATTCTCTACGCAATAACCTTTTCTTCCCTGCACCTTCTTCCCGCTTGGCTACTTAGCTTCTTCAGCCTTCATCTTTCAGACACTCCTCTTCTACGGTACTGTTTCTCTGTTTGATACTTCTGTTTTGTACTTTTGTTTTTATTGAATTTAATACTAAATATTATTGTTAATATTCTTTAACTTTTAACATTTTCGGCTAATTGATATCTTCTTATTTTTCATCGTTTAAGTTCAGCATACCACTATGTTCTTTCAGTTTTTATATTTAATGATAACTTCAACTTTAATATTAATATAGTGTTTTATTTAATAGTAAATATTGATGTTAATTTTATTTTAATGTTCTACAACTTTTAATAACTTCTGCATATTAATATTTTATTACCTATCAGAGGTTAACTTTAAATATTTTAAGTTTCTGCATCAGTAAGTTCTTTCAGTTTTAATAATTGATGTTAACTTCAACTTTATTACTAATTTTTAGTGCTCTGCTTAATTTGATGCTTAAGATCAATGTTAATTTTCTATATACTTCAACTTTTATTATTTTCTACATACATAGATACATACATATATATATATATATAGACACACAAATGATCAGGTCCGAACGTTCAGACCTGGGCCTCCGTCCGAACACCGCCGTTCGGGGCTGTTCCCGGTCGAATTTTTTGATGAAAATTTTATGGTATGTTCTTCATCAAGTCTAGTTTATCCACACAAAAATTCAGCTCAAAATTCAATCGGAAAGGCCTTCAAATGATTTTTTGAAGTTGACTGCGCTAAATTATACATTTGAAGGTCTTTCCGATCGAATTTTGAGCTGAAATTTTGTGGATAAACTAGACTTGATGAAGAACATACCATAAAAATTTCATCAAAAAAATCGACCGGGAACCGCCCCAAACGACGGTGTTCGGACGGTGCCTCCTGTCCGAACGTTCGGACAGGATAAGTTCTCTCTCTCTCTCTCTCTCTCTCTCTCTATATATATATATATATATATATATATATATATATATATATATATATATATATATATACACGCCTCACCCATAGGCCTCATCGCGCAATGAGGCTCACGCAATATGCAATTCCAAAAAATTGCCATGACTACGCAATACGCAATTTTGAACCCTGCTAATACCTTCTAAGGCTTGGATTATGTTGTACTAATACCTTCTAAAAAATGATAATAATAGGAACTTAGCAACTAGTGTGCTTATAATATTAATGTCCGTAAGTCATAACTCAACACTATTAAAGAACAACATACCATCAATTCACAGAAACAGTTTCAATGAACTAAGCAAATTATAAAAACATGATCTATCACTGTTATCAAATAACGGTCACAGTGGCACCATGGCGGATAGCTATCGCGGATTCTAAGGAAACCGCCATGCTATAACGGAGGCGATGCAGAGTTGTCTTAGGCTCTTAGCGCTGCATGGCGGCCTCTATGGCGGATTTCAGGGTAGCTACCAATTTTGAGGGTCTTTTTATTAGACCAACACATTTTCTGATTTGTTCTACTACCCTACTAACTTATTTGTGTTTTATTTAATCCAAAAAAACCTCATCTAGGACGAACTCATCTGCAATTTAATCTTTATTCCTAGTCTACCCTCGCGGTTTTGCCTCCTCTGATTCTTTTTCTACGGCCTTCAGGATGTTTTTACTTGGACTGTAATTTGCTGGTCTGGTATGTTTTGGTCTGGTCTGGTCTGAAATTTCATTTTTTATATTTTTTGCATAAAGATTTTATTTTTTATATATATTAAAATCCATTAATAATTATATTTTATTCATTTATAATTAAAAATAATAATAGTAATAATAGTAATAATACTAATAATACTAACAATAACAATGATGATGATCATGATGCTGATGACGATGACGACGACGGCGGCGGCGACGACGACAACAACAACAACAACAACAACAACAATAATAATAATAATAACAATAATAATAACAATAATAATAACAATAAAATATGGTCTGGTCTGGTCTGTTTTAGTCTGGTTTGGTCTGTTTTGGTCTTGTCTGGGACGAATTACAGTCCAAGTAAAAACAACATCACTCTCAGCGCTTCACAAATCAAGTGAGCTTCTGAGCCCATTATCTATTGTATACCCTTCTGCTCTGTAAGCACCAAGCTTTTTTAAAGCGAAAAGCGTCCAAAAGCAATGACCCTGGGCTTTGCTTAAAAGCGAAAGTGCTAAGCGAAGCGTAGCTTTCTCACAAAAAGCGATGCTTAAAAAAATAAAAGAAAATATAAAATATAATACTAGTGCGGCATAAAGTTTCAAAACCTTCATCACATAATTACGCAAAAACACATAACTAATCATAAAAGTCATAAATTGGAATGACAAAAAATAATTAATCAATAAAGTGAAAGGAATAAACTGGAATAAACAAAAAAATTATTATTCAATAAACCGAAAGTAATAAACTGGAATTTAATTTAGCTCCGAATACATTTGAGTAGCTAACTACTAATGTGAAGACATATTGATCTTTCCGTAAATAATTTACTACATTAATTCTTGATAGAATAATAAGTACAATTACTAGTTACTACCAAGAAAATGATTTCATTCTTCAACAAAAGGCATTAGCTATCAATGCTTTCATTATGATATACTCCGTATAATTTAGCTGTTCAAAACTATCATAATTACCAAGAAAAATATAATATAATGATTTCTTTCATTCATACTATTTATATATATATATATATATATATATATATATATATATATTATAGGCTATTTTAGAAGCTTATTATAGAAATGGAGTAAACTGTAAAATTGAAACAGAGTAAAGTGAGCTGCGGAAGTTCAGGGCTCCAACTACAATCACGTAAAATTGAAGAACGATGATGAAATAGAATGATGGTGAACCTGCGCAGCACCGGCGAGAAAGTCTGGGAGAACTACTCTTCTTCGCCTACGAGTCGTGACTTGGAAACATCGGTGACCTGGGAGAACTCTTCGGCTCTTCACCTGCGATTTCTTCAACGCTTCAGCTATGTCTGGACTCTGGAGTACGGCTATGTCTGGAGTGGGAAAGAGTCGAACAACCCTAACTCGTAACGTCTAGATGAGAAGACCAAATTTAAAAAAAAATTGACCGGTAAATTTACCGCTTTTTGTGAGAATCCATGAAAAGCGATCGCTTTTCATTAAGCGAGCTCAAGGAAAAGCGCCGGAAAAGCTTCGCTTTCTCATGGCGCGGCGCTTCTCAAAAGCCAGGCGCAGGTTTAGCGCTCGCCTGCGCTTTGTCGCTTTTAGGCGCTTTTCACCGCTTTTGACAAGTTTGGTAAGCACTTCCTCCATACCCCCAAAATCTTACTCTTCTGTTCTTTCAATATTACTTTTCAATTGCTGTCTCCAACTGAGTCCTTTTTTATTATTCTTCTCTTTCAATTTGTTTATACATTTGTTCACATATTATACTACCTCCATCCCAAAATACTTAAGCAAAATCTTAAAATTTGGACCATGGTTTTGATTAGTACAATTTTATGAAAGTTATAAATTTTATACTTTTATGAAAGTACATTTAATAAAGAACATTTTCATATAATTTTTATATTATAAATAATTTCCAATAAATATATATATTTGGTCAAAGTTTTGAATATGGCTAAGTATTTTGGGACGGAGGTTTGGGTGTTTGGCAGCTGGTTTTGTGGTCCTTTTTATGTTGAGTATGTTCAGTATTTTCGGGGATTGAAGATGAAAATCGGAAGCTGTTCAAATTAACACCAGGCAGCGGTTTGGGCTTATTATTCAGTTTATTAAGACTTCCATTGAAAAATTTTGATTTTTGGTGGGGTTGTGCTACGATTTTAAATCTAGTTAGAAATTTCTAACCGTTTTACTGTTGATCGAATCTATCTTATAACTTTACTGCATATGTCTAGTATGATAGTTAAATATAATTATTATATATGCAATTCATTTTACCTAATCCTTAATGTGTCCGCTATTTACCACAACACTGTCCACTAAATTTATATAGCAGCTTTTGGGATTTCCGCCATAATCCTCTGTCCGCTATTGACAACACTGATATATATATATATATATATATATATATATATATATATATATGTGTGTGTGTGTGTGTGTGTGTGTGTGTGTGTGTGTGTGTGTGTGTTCTGGTGGCGGGTTGTGTGCCAATGGAGAAACTAATAGTAAGATGTTCACTAGAGTGCAAGCATTTACATCCAGACTTTTACAAGGACTACCATTAGGTTAAACTGTAGATACTAGGCATACATATGCATAAGGATCCACTTGACACCAAAAAAGTTGTATGCTACACACATTAATAAAAGGACATAAATTTTATACATCAACTCATAAAACACTTGCAAAGTCAAAGATAACTAAATTAAAATTTTACTCGTGATGGAAGTGCAGAATACCGTGTACATTCGACCACAAGAAAAAGCCAACAGACTGAAGATACGTTTCACTAGAATTACAAATCAGACCAAGATGATTACATATTCAAGTAAATTCATACTGCCAGTCGATTAGAGAAACTCAAACAAATGTATGAAAAAGTTGCTTACTAAAATAGTTCTGGAAACAACCACAAAACCCGGAAACAAAAAAAAATCTTTATCGGTTGCTCCATAGATCTAAATTTGATGTGTGCACGCGATTCTCATCCAAATTAGACAAAGACTTCACTGGACACACAGATCAACTCTTATACAATAAAGCGCGCATGCACACAACATATGATATACTTCTTAGTAATACATGCCAGCTGTATAATCAGATAGTCAGTAAACATACAACGTTACTGAAAATAGGAGCAAACGGACCTTCTTGCACGTAAGAGGAGAAGCGAGGAAGTACACGCAATCAGTGTTTTTCTTGATTGCTTCTTCGTCAGCTGACATCATAGGCGCCGGAGTTGGCGCCGGAGTTGGCATATGCGTGACCTGCGGGTTCGATCGGTGAGAACCGTCCATAACGTTAAGAGATAAACCCAGATAGATCTTCGGAAAACTGCGGCCGGATCTAGGGTTCACGAAGTCGGGCCGATATGTGTTATAGATACACACAATTTTGAATATAAATGCACCTCAGCGGCACGTCTGTATTAGTAAAACTGATCCAGCTTTCAATACGAACCCCAGGGTTTTGATGGCCGGATGATGTCGCTGAGAGGTGGCTGGTTTAAGAGATAGAGAGAGAGACTGGTAAATGTGAGGCTATGGAAAGAGAGGCGCAGGATGGCGACCAAAGGCTTTATATAAGTTGTCAGTTTCTTTTTTTGGAAACTAAATACTTCTCGGTTTCTAAATTGAATTTGATACTACCCCTTAAAACTTCTTTAAGTTTAATCGGCACGGGTATTAATAAAGTACAAATTATATGATCGAGGTTCGTGCGGATGAGAGATAATTAACTGGAACCACAGATTTTTTACTTTAAAAGGAAAGTGGCAAAGTTAGTGGGACATCTAAAAAAGGAAAGTTGACAAAGTTTTAAGGGACGGAGAGAGTAAATTTATAAATACGTAAGATATTTTCTTTTGGACTGTTTTCGGTCCCAAATGAGATCAAATCATATCAAACTGGATTAGACTTGAATGAATTAGATCAGACCAAATTGGACTTAAACAGATCAGACCAGACTTGAACAATTATAAAATACACACACCGCACATTTACCGGACCAAACCACGTCAGACCAGACCATACTTAAATAGACCAGACCAGACAAGCAATATGTGTTTATCCATTTGAAATTCATTGTATTTATCCATTTGATTTTAAAAATGTGTCAAATCTCATTTGTGTTATAATTACGTGTTGAGGTTTATTCCCTTCAACCTGTAGGCCCAACACACAACCTAAAGGTTTCTAGTGGGTAGTTTAGGAGAATAAGGTCAAACAAGTAAATGAGACCCAATAAGAAGTCTTGATTTAATTCCACTGTTACAAGGCGTGAAGCCGTTCGTGCAGATGTTGTGCTACGAGATAATAAGAATGTTATAATAGTAGAGTGCTAAGTAGCCCATCCTTTACAATAAATATAGATATAAATATGTATGAACAAGCTATTTTTACGTGGAACCCCAGAAATGAAGAAAACCACGGGACTGTTTAGGCTAAAGTCCGAGCCCTCTCATTTATTTAGGCTCTTCTCACCATTACATTGTACACTTGAGCTTCCATTAATGGAATCTTTTAGCTAGTCTAGAGAGAAGGAGGAGGAAATGGAAAAGAAGAAACCCCTCTTACAATGAAATAAATGCTTCTATTTATACTGTCAATGGGTAGTTGGATAAACTTATGGGTTTATGGATCAATCCCTGTTTGGCCATTAACCTAACATTACGAAAGAATGATTAATATATTACTAGTGGGCTTTTAATGGGAAAAAATAAACCTCTTTTGTGGTTGGACATGAAATTGACTAAAAATAGGATATATGGTCGAAAATGCCCCTCATAATCTGACCTAAACCCTAACTACTCATTTTCCGCCCTAAACCCTAACCACTCATTTTCTGTCTTTATCTCTCTGCATCGATAGCTTCAGAATTGAACGCCTCTTCCCTACCACATGAAGGTTAAGGCGGCGCAAAGCTGGTTACAATGGAGGAGGCTTGCGCATAAGCGTTGATATGGCCTGCAGACGGGTAAGGCTTGGAAGGTAGGTTGGATGACGATACTGCATTTGCCGAAGCTAAGATGTGGTGGTGCTAGTGACAGAGGATCTGGCCATAGCAAGTGGTGGTCGATCTGGCTGCTGCAAGTGTCAGCGTACTCGTTGTGAAGCGAGGGAGAAGTTTGTGTGACAGAGTGGAGGACAAGTTTTGAAAAAGAATATTCGGCGGCTAGAGGGTGTTCGGGATTGGTGGGCAACAACAGGATCACTAGGATCGCGACTTGGGATGTGGTCGTAGCTAGGGCTAGTGGGGCAGAGGTAGGATTGGGGCTGTGGCGGAGGTCACCGATGAGTGGAGTGCCGGAAGTTAGTGGTGATCAGAGTGGCGGAGCTCACTGGACTAGCTAATGGCGGTGTTGCTTTGACCGGTAGGTTTTTGGGAGCCTTGGGGCTGAGGACGAGTAGTTGGTGGTGGTGGTGATTGGTGGTTGTGGCGTTACTGTTGTCGGAGTCATGTGGTGGCGTCAAAGTGGCCGGAGTCACTGTGGCTGGTGGCAGTTGTCACTAGAGACTGGGCTGGGGTAATTAAGTAAACTCAATACTTATTAGTCACATTTTTAGAAATTTTAAAAAATGTCTCTTTTTTTCTATTATTCATTTTTGGTAATATTCATGCAAAACCCCTATAATTATTCATGCCAAAAAATCCATTTTATGAACAAAGTTAACTGTAAGTTTTTCTTTTATTTGACCATTAAATTTGTTCAAAAAGGGTTCTGCGCAAGAATAATTATAACAAATGTGGTTTGATGCATTTTCTAAATCATAGGGGCTAATGTGCTGAATTTTGTATATCACAAGGGGGTGTGGTGCATTAAACCCTATAAATCTAGGCCTATATTTATTTATGAGATTTTTTATTTATATTCACTGTTAAAAATAAAAATAATTTTGTAACATCTCATAAGTAGATGATCACATTTTTTAAAACTATACTTTGTTTCCACCGTAAACGAACTATACTTTGTTTCCTGATTTGAGGTTCATATTACTATTGACACTGTCAAATTAAGTCAACTTTAATTTCTAAATTTCATAACAATTTTATCATATTTGAATTCAGTATGCTATTTTGTAGCTTTTGTGTATTTACAATTTAATCATTAATGTTTTTTAGAGTAATTTAATCATTAATGTTGGTAGCTATCGAAACGCTCACATTGTTCGTGGTTCAAGCTGTTCAGAGAGAGAGAGAGGATTGTCTTATCTCGATGTTTGGAATGATGTTCTTAAGACTCGGGGCTTCATCCTAAAAGGTCAACCTGATAGATGGAGAGGCGGGAAGTTTCACCTAATAGAGTTAGTTACACAAGCATCATTAGTGCGTACAACAAGACCAAGGAGTATCGAAGATGTGTGTAATACTATAACAACTTTAGCAAGCTAAAGAACGGCAGTGGGAGGATTAATAGGGCAATGGGTGGGCTAATGGTTTATTTTTTTTTCAAAGATGAATAGAGTTAAGGAGTTGGTTAAGGTATTGCAGGAAATGAAGAAGCTTAGATTTGATAGTTGACTTTGGTGATTAGTGAGAACCAACAGTGATTTCCAGGATTGTGAAGATCCGATATCGAGCATTGTAGATTCGGTGTCGATTTGAGTTTTTATAGCAGGGGGCGGAGGTAGGGTTCGTGAAGTGGTCAGGGGTAGTGGGTAAGGGGTGGGAGAAGTGGAAGGGGCATTGGTGATGGGCTGGGGATGTGGCTTGGGAGGGGTGGAGGCAGTGGCGGATAAGTGGGAGCCGGTGGTCACTAATGGGAGACATTAGTCACTGGTTGGTGGTGACGTGCCATTCGCGTGGGGGTGCTCACTAAGGGCATTAGTGACTAAGAAAACAAGTCATTGGGTAGCCTTGCAGTTGGTCTCTAAGGTGGGGTCAGTACCAGTCACATTACTTTTTCACTAAACTTTATAATCTTGACTAGGATATGTTTCGAACTTGTGACCTCTTCCTTGGGAGTGTCGATCACACATCAAACCAGAAGGTGCCTGATACCCGTCAAATTATCTTAAAGAGTGCAAAATCATTTCTCTTTTTTAGTCATTTTAAAATTAGTCTTATTTTTTACCACTACTCTTTTATTATTATTTATATATGTCAAAACCGCAATGATATAATATGATGTCAAACATTTATTTTCATAAATCTATAATAAGGAAATTTTGTATCCTAATATGATAAAACTAATTTGAAATATGGTATAAAACATTACAAACAAAATTACCCCACTTAATAGAAATCTTGCTTGCTTGCTTGGTATGGAAGTTATGCATGAATGTAATGCTTGTTGGAAAAATGTGTTAAAATTTGCATTAAATGGTTAATTTGGGGCAATATTTTGAGTGGGGTCCACTTCCAATTTGGGTCAAGTCAATGTGATTTCGGATTGTCCTTGTTAAGGGCTACAATTCGATATATGGTACACTCAAAACGGATAACGGGTGAATGAGAAATTGATTCTCGAAGTTCACTCGATGAAACGGAAAAAGTGGGGAAAAGGATGGATTTCTAGTGGGATTTATAAAAGGAACCCACTTTGAAGGAGCTAAGATTCCTACGGGAAAAGGCTCTCTTCGCGTGGGGGGGTGCTGATCAAATCTCGAAAACGGAGAAGAAAAACGGTGACTCGTGTGCGCGGGCGACCTGCGGATACGAATGTGCGTCGGCAGAACTACTCTGGACCAGAAGTCCTGAGAGGGTCTCTGGTGGCTTCCGGACAGAAAACCATGAGGTCTTCTGTGACTTCCGAACAGAAGACCACTGGGGAGTTCTGGTGCCTTCTCAACAGAAGACCAGAAAGCAGTTCTGCTGGGGTGTTCTGGTCGCACACCTGAACCCTGAACCGTTACAACAATAAATGCCCAACGTTCTTATCTTTTAATGCAGCGTTAAATGGACAGTTCATGGACGATTCAATGCCCAACAGACTGGTCATTGATGTCCAACGTTCAGGTCCATTAACACACCACAAATTCGTCCCTATATATACCTGGCAGGTATTTTGCAACAACACACGTTCATACACAGTCTACACGTAGTTTTTGAGCTAAAACACACCTCCGGTGTTCCGAAAACTTCCTAAGTGTTCAGCCTTTGTTCCCGTTCGCTGAAACTTTCGTTTGTGTGCTCAAACGTTAGTTCGTTAGCCACCGTATCTTTGGAAACGGTCGTTGCAACGCTCCTAGCACCGCGGGAGGCGACGAATACGTTTTAAGGACATCGTGCATAGCACGAGCTCTGGCTAAATTCTGCTCCATCTATTTTCTGCTTTCTTTAGTCATTTTAAATAATTAATTTTTATTAAATATTTTCTTTGTTTTTCGAAACACACCCAACAATTCTTACAATTTTCCTCTAGACATAGTTGCTATCCAAGTAAATATGGACAAAATTAATATAAATCATATCCTCTGAAATCAACAATCACGCGTTGATTTAACACGTGTTTTTTAGCATTATATATAACATATAAACAAACATATAATGATCAAGTTTTTGAGATAAACACTCAAAAAAACATAATAAAAATTACTATTGTGATACTACTTGATTGAGTATATGAAATTACACAGACTTTAGTTATCTAGCAGCTGATGTGTGAATTTAAATATATTCCTATTTGAATTAGCCACAATCCTAGACATTCTCGGCTTCTATTCTACTTTCCCAAGTCGTGGGAAAATGCGGTGGAAAAAAGTGACAATAAACTTGATGAATATTAGTGTTATAAAGAGATGAAAGTTTTCAGAAAGTGGAAGGTTTAGGATCACTACTCCCTTCGATAAGCTCAAATCCTAATCTTCCTTGTGAGTTTTATGATTTATCTAAAAAGAAAGAAAAAGAAATTTTCAAAAAAGGGTTCCAACTCATTACCTCTATGAAGTCTATGATTTATTCAAAAAGAAATTAAAAGAAATTATCAAAAAAGGATTCAAATTCATGACCTTAACTCAAGTCTTTCCTTTATTTTCTTTTCATTACCATTAAGCAAATAGTGTTTCTCATTCATTTATGATTACAAAAATATATAATAAATTAGTCAACAATAAAGTGAATAAACCCTAAGCTCAAAGCATTCTCAAATCAACGATGATATAGAGCTTCCCTCTATATATGGAAAATATTAACCATGATTTCACTAATTAATGAAATGAAAAATACATTTTCACCCGAGTTAGATAATAATATTTATTTGTGAGATACAAGGGCTGAATGTTTCCATCATTTTCAATAAAGTCAAAGACTCACAATCTTTTGACTTGGGAATACGATGGAATAAAGCAAAACGACTTACTAATTGTCTGCGCTTCTTGATTATGAAGCAGCAGTCATTCCATGCAATTCTCGACGCGATTTTCATCATTGATCATTCGGAAATATTCTCTTTATGCTTTAGCACATGGGTAAGGTTGCGTACATACGACCTCCCTTACCCCACTGTAGGTGGAAGCTTTTACTGCATTAAGGTAATTTTGTTGTATAAAAGGATGTCAGTAATGATTTTGTGAGATTTGATATTCAATTCTCTATGTTATTTTGACATATCATTCGAGTTTATGTCAATAATTTGTTTTCTTTCAATTTCTTCTCCGGAGCAAAAAGTTTTTCATCATTAGGCCGCCTAGTTTTCATCGGTGATCACTTGGGTTTATTATATTACGTGAAACCCTCTTAAAATGTAAGTTGTGCACTTATGCGCGTTAATCCCCTATAATTTAGTAGATGCATCAAAATCATATGTGTTATGATTAGTCATACATGTATTAGTCGGTCTTTAGTATTTTTATAATATTTAGGCATCTAGACAAATATATGTACATATGTAATCATAACACTAAGAAATGAGCATTCTCGGTATCAAATTTGGTATTCTAATCTAGAGAATGACATGCGTGATTAATTTTAATGTAACTAAGGAGGTCTTGACACAGTTTAAAGCACTGAGGAATTTTGTACATAATTTATATATTAAGAGGGGTTTCACAAATTCAATTTGTCACTCATAATTACCCATATTCACAAAATTTAGGAATCATTCGTAATCGTACAATGAATCCATATATGAAAAATACAAACACTAACCAGGAAAACATCCGGGCTAAACATTAGATAATTGGTAGAATAACATCAAATTTGATTATGCTGAGAATAACAATTAAGAAATGAAATATGAAGACAAATAATTCCCTTTCCGATCTCATACTTGATTTAATGTTCAAAACATGGGTAACATAGACAAGACAATGAGATGAGAGATGTGATTTATTAAAATGACTACTAGCTAGCACGCCTATAAATTAAACACCTACCCCTCCCCTCTTATGCATTGATGAATCAATTCAACTGGGCTTTATTTCAATAGATCTGCCAAATTCTTTCGGAAGCCATCCATCTTCTCTCCCAGTTGTTGGAGTTGGGGCAAGTTAAGCTTCTCTATGAATGCATCAAAACTATCATTCTGAAGGTTGGATGGCTCTAACATTGAAGGCGGCTTGGCTTTCTTGTTTTTCCATGATTGAAGCTTGAAAATTCTTGGGTTTTTGTGAATGGTACATTTAGAAGTGCATTCATGGGAAGCCCCATTTTGTTCTTCATAGCGATCAATGATTGTTTCATCGCCGAAAGTAAACATTTGACCTCCGAGGGAGAAAATAATGATGAGAACGTTGGAGGCACAAAGGGTGCATATCTCTTTTGCTCTCTTTACTATTGCATTCCGATGTCGGCCAAATTTGGCAACCTCAGATTTATTTCCCTCATGACCACTTCCAACCATTCTGCTTCTCCGACCTTTTCTATTTCGGTATCACTATAAATAAATGGAGATCGATTATGGTTTCTATCTCGTACTCATTTATACGTAGTAGTTTTTTTCGAAGTCATTTATAGTTGGGTCCAAGTTTTTATATCAATCAATTATGGTAACAAATTAATGCCCCAGGTTTCGTAATGTGAAATGGGTCCTGCCTTTTCTACGCACTGAATTGGGGATTTCCACTATATACTTCCTCGTTCTTTTTTAAATGCAACATTGGACTTTTTCCACTATTCACATGTTCTACTTTGACTCTATTTTATTTATTAATGTATTATAAATTAAATTTAAAAAAATTATTGTTAAATTCCTCTCATTTTAAAGTTTCAAAATCTATTTTTTTTTAATTTTTTACTAATAAAGTATGAAAGATATTAATGGTTAAACTTGTACGTTGGCAAACGTGAAAAGTGGACCGTTGCATTTAAAAAAGAACGGAGGAAGTATGTTAGCATGCATGCTGAGGTTGTATTGGTATAATTTCTACAAGGAGTAAAACATTGAATTAAATGCATAAATTGGGAATATATACATGTTTTATTCTCGATCTATAAGCTATTTGGTTGTATTGTATGCATAAATTTTTTCAATTAGGTGTGAGTGAATCTTATGTTGAAAAGAAAATAATTGTAACCTTCTCTTTGCAATTTGATAGTGTTTTAATCCAATTTTCTCTAATTTCTGTGAAATGCACCCCATTAGTGTGTCTTCCGGTAAACACTTTTGGATGACAACTTCTCAAGTAAGATTCGTTTTCCTATATTGTTATTGTTACTATTATTATTATTATTATTATTATTATTATAAATAATAGATACATAATATTTTAGAAATGCATATTTGATGTTGTTTTCATTTGGATTGATAAACGTATATTTTATGTGCATTTTACTTAAATCTAATTTTGATATTGTGTGATCCAAATTAATTAATTAATTCTAATATGATCTAAGATTAAATCAGCCCGAACACATCTCAACTTTACGTTTAGAACATCCTCTCATGGTTCAATGGAAACCTTTTCATATGATGAGAAGAAATTAAGAATCATAGTAGGCTAGGATAAGAGCCTACTAAAATTATCATGATAATTGTAAGAATGGTGAAACAAGAGCAATCCGTAACAATTTAAACCTATTTACAAAAATATCATTTCATTTTGCGATGCATGACAATGCATATGTTTGTTTCATATAATTTACATTTCACAAATTTAACATGTACTCCAAAACCATTCTCATTTCCCACCTTAGATCGTGTTATTATTTGATCCAAATTTATATATATATATATATATATATATATATATATATATATATATATATAGGGAAGAGATCAAATAAAAAGAAGTTCTCCCGTGCGAACGATTGCACTTTTTCCTTATCGCGTTTCACTTTTGCGTGATTCTGTTGCACTTTTTCGCAATGGCAAAAAACTTCATTTTAATTACGAAATTGCCACCGCGTTTTTGATCAAATTTAGTTCACTTTTGGCTCATTTTGAGCCATTAGATCTGGAAATGAATGCACGAGATTAATTCTCACTTTGCATGGGAAGACCTAATTGTATTTGAACCCTATATATATATATATATATATATATATATATATATATATACTCCCTCCGTCCCTAAATAAAAGTATCTGTTTCCTTTTCGGGCCGTCCCTAAATAAAAGTTCCCTTTCCCTTTTTGGCAAACAAAACAGTGCAAAACAGTGCAAAACAGTGCCAAACAGTGTCCAAACAGTGCCAAACAGTACCAACCAAACCCACTTTCTTAAGATGTGTGTAAAATGAATGGATACTTTTATATAGGGACGGAGGGAGTATATATATATATATATATATATAGAATAAAGATCAAATGAGAAGACATTTTAACGTGAGAAGTGAGAAGCTTCACATTTGCCTCTTTCTGATGCACTTTTGCGCTAATCTGGTGCACTTTTTGCGATGGCAGAAAAGTTCTGATTAATTAAAAAAGTGGTGCAAGACACGGTGGCATTTCTGTAATTAATCGGAACTTTTCTGCAATCACAAAAAGTGCACCAGATTAGCGCAAAAGTGCATCAGAAAGAGGCAAATGTGAAGCTTCTCACTTTGCACGTTAAGATAAGATGTCTTCTCATTAGAACCCAATCCTATATATATAGAGGTAAGGGTCAGATTGGTCCTCAAAGTTGTACAAAAAGGGTCAAATAAGTCCTTATATAAGAGGCTCTGTCCAGACGTCGCCATTCGGGGTAGTTCTAGGTGGATTTTTTTATGAACTTTTTTGAGCATCTTATTTATTAAGTCTAGTTTACTCATACCAAATTTGAGATAAAATTTCAATCTAGAAGGCATTCAAATGAAGTCTTGAAGATAACTGCGCAATTAAAAGCGCACTTACCTTCAAGAATTCATTTGAATGCCTTCCCGATTGAGGTTTCAGCTGAAATTATGTATGAGCAAACTAGACTTAATGAATAAGATGCTCAAAAATTTTAATAAAAAAGTTCCACCGGGAACCTCCTGAAATGGCGACGACCGGACAGTAAGGACTTATGTGACCCTTTTTATGCAATTTTAAGGACCAATCTGACACTTACCTCTATATTTATATAAATATATGTAGGGAGCGGTTCCGGTAAGAACGGACTCCTAGGAGAGAAATAAGAACGAATATGGACCGTTGGATTGTATTATGTGGAACGGAAATGTGCATTTGATGAAACTGAAATGTGTATTACATGATACTGAAATGTGGAGAATAAAAATTTAAACTCAATTGTGCATTGGGTGAAACTAAAATGTGCGGAATAAAATGTAAAAAAAAAACGTCACATCATACCTTTTATTCTGCACATTTCAGTTTAACTTAATGCACATTTTAATTTCACCTAATGCACAATTCATCTTCACTTAATGACATTGTATCATACGCTTTGTGTTGCACATTTCAATTTTACATAATGCACAGTACAGTTTCATCTAATGCACATTGAATTTCACTTAAAGCAAATCTAACGGTCCAGATTCGTTCTCATTTCTCTCCTAAGATCATATTCTTATTTGAACCAAAACCTATATGTGTGTGTGTGTGTCTATATATATATATATATATATATATATATATATATATATATATATATATATATATAAACCAATCTTCCTGACTAGCCAGGTCGGACAGGAGCTCGTCCGGTCACCTCAATTTGAGGTGGTTCCAGGTGGTATTTTTTGTTGAAATTTTTTGTGTATGTTCTTCATCAAGTCTAGTTCATCCATATCAAACTTGAGCAAAAAATTCAATCGGGAAGGTAGTCAAATGAGTTTTGCTCAAATTTAATATGGATGAACTATACTTGATGAGGAACATACACAAACAATTTCAACAAAAAACACCAGCGGGAACCACCTCAAATTGAGGTGGCCGCACCACCCTCCTGTCTGGCCTGGCCGGACAAGAATACTGCTATATATATATAGTATAATAATAAATGCATTAATAGCACAGTTGTCCAAAATCGAATACTATTAAATGCGATATTTATTACAATTGATGATCATGTATAATCATCTTATAAATGAGATGTACAAATCTATTTGTGCCAAAATGTTCAATCCCCAACCCATAGGCCGCTCACGCTCCAGCTCTGTAGAGCATATGATGTTGTAAATCATGGTAACTCAACTAAACACAGAAGCTAAAACAGTACTAACCGTGCACAAGGAATCTCCCTCAGTTTGAGAGGTTGTTCTCACACTGTTGCTGGCAGGACTGGATCCTAGATCACATATGTCAAACTTCCCGCATATGACTAAATGACCTACTCGTGCTAACAGAAGTACAAGTTTATTATGTATATTGTTTGAGGTGAGAACAAAATAGTTAATGTACTATTACGAGAATGTAATTGCTAATAAATATATATACATTTATGGAAATAAGTTAATTCAATAGAACTAAGAATTTAAGAAATAAGCTACGTCCAACACAATATTAAGGTGTAATTGAATTTGAATTTTACATTTGAAGTTCTCCCAAAACAAAGTAGATATATATAGGTGTGGTTCAAGTAAAAAGTAGTCTTCTCATGAAAAGTGAGAACAAATGTTGACCTTTGATTACTTGAAAATGGATGGATTAGATGAACTTTAATCAAAAGAGACAGTTTCAAAACACGTGCAGATGTTTATACTACAAAGTGGATAGCTAATGATAAAAAGTGCACTGATGCGTGTAAAAAAGTGGGTAGTTTCTAACTTGTATAATTTTTATTTTGTATGTGTTGCACTTTTGTGCTCTACATGTGCACTTTTTAATTATTCTGATATAAATTTGTCACAATATTCTTAGGAAAAATCGCATTTTTGGTCCCTCAGTTATCCCCCCAATTGAAATCTCAGACCCGTATTTCTGAGATTTTAAATTACACCCCTGACTTGGCCCACTTACATTAAATGTCGTCCCCACTGTTAGAAGTCCAACTAACAACATCCGGTCTTCCATTTAATCAGGGGTAAACGCGTAACTTTCTTTCCTTAAAGGTTTAAATCCCTAATATAACTACAAACCTTCAGATAAAGTTCATTCTTCCGCACCAAAACTTCTCACTTTCTTCATTTGTCCGGACGTGGGATCTTTCTAGGAGCTCCTCCATTGTCAAACGATTTAGGGTATCTTAGGTTGAAGTTCGTACTAATTATGTATTCTTCACTTATGCGTTCTTCTAGTGTGTCTTTGTGGTTTCTTTGCTTCTTACTTCAACAATAGATATAGGGTTAGCAAATTACAAAAGAAGATAATATATGTATGTTTTGGACGAATTGACAAGGCATGAACATAACTTGATTCATTTTGCAGGAACAAAAATGTTGACAAATCACGGGATATGTCATAGTTGCAGGAGTTCAGACCATTTCCTGAATGAATGCCCTAACAAGAAGAAGTGCCTTGCGTGTTCAATTGGCATTCAAAGATGCTTGATTACAACAAAATTTGGTGAGAATTAAGGGAGGATGTTTTATAATTGCATACAATGCAACTACTTCAAATGGAAATTGGGTAAAAGCAGTAACAATGGAAGCCACAGTCCAATTATTGAAGCTCAAGGAGATGTAGAGGACAATGTCAAAGGTGGTGTTAGTCAACTTATCGAAATGTTTGCACAAGCAACAATGAATGAAGGTGGGAAGATGACACTTAAATTAACAATTCCATATGACAAGAAGACCAAAGAAGGTAGTTCAAAGTGTAGGATTGACTGAAATTTGTAATTGAAGCATGGTGTAGGCTCCATTTGTATTATGTCGAAGTGTTTGTTTCAGTTGAATTGTTTAACTTTGTTGTAGTTTAAGTGTTTATTACAAAATCAATTTATGTAATGTGTGTCTGTTACTTTAGTTCATGTCATGTGTGTAGTTTATGCATAACACAAAACCAAGGATACCAAAATCAGTTTATGTAATGTGTGTTGTTTGTACATATTTGTACTTCATATACCTTCTTGATAACACACATTCATTTACACCCATCCAAATGGTAATTTTAAGAAAAAAGCTAACACACATTCATTTACACCCATCCAAATGCTAATCTAAAGAAAATGGATAACACATTTTCATTTACACTTTCTACGAAATGATAATCTAAAGAATAAGGCTAACACACATTAATTTACACCCATCCAAATAAACATATATTAAACACCCATATACTAATGAGCA